GATTGGGGGATTTGAAGGGGATTTGGGGAGGATTTTGAGGGGCGATTTGGGCATTTTGGGGGTGGTTTTGGGTTCAGGGGGTTTTGGGAAATTTTTTGGGGGTTTGGGGGATTTGGGGGATTTTTTGGGGGATTTGAGGGGGTTTGGGGGATTTTGGGGGATTTGAGGGCACAGGGGGTACGGGAGTCCCCGTCCTCCCATCGGCTGCTCCCACCCTAAAATACAAATTTTTGGGGTGATTTTGGGTCAGGAAGGATTTTTGGGGATTTTGGGTGGATTTTGGGTGGATTTGGGGTGGATTTGGGGTGGATTTGGGGGATTCTGGGGAGGATTTGGGGTGGATTTGGTGGATCAGGAAGGGATTTGGGGGATTTGGGGGATTTTGGGGGATTTGGGGGTCAGGGGATTTGGGGGAGATTCAGGGGGATTTGGGAAGATTTTGGGGGATTTTGGGGGATTTTGGGGATTTGAGGGTCAGGAAGGGATTTGGGGGATTTTGGGGATTTGGGGGATTTGGGGGCACAGGGGGATGCGGAGCCCCCGTCCTCCCACGGCTGCTCCCACCCTGAAACCAGGAATTTTGGGGGTCAAAAGGGATTTTGGGGGGATTTGGGAGGTCAGGAAGGATTTGGGGTGGATTTTGGGGATTTGGGGGCATTTGGGGGATTTTGGGGGATTTGGGGGTCAGGAAAGGATTTGGGAAGATTTTGGGGATTTTGGGGGGATTTGGGGGATCAGGAAGGATTTGGGGGATTTTGGGGGCATTTGGGGTGGATTTGGGGGATTTGGGGTGATTTTGGGGGATTTGGGAGATTTTGGGGATTTTGGGGGTCAGGAAGGGATTTGGGGGATTTGGGGGAATTTAGGGGAATTTAGGGGATTTTGGGGATTTGGGGGCACAGGGGGTACAGGAGAGTCCCGTCCTCCCATGGCTGCTCCCACCCTAAAAACACAAATTTTGGGGATTTTGGGGGATTTGGGGGATTTTGGGGGATTTGGGGGATTTTGGGGATTTGGGGGATTTGAGGGCACAGGGGGTACAGCAGAGCCCCGTCCTCCCACGACTGCTCCCACCCTAAAATCAAGAATTTGGGGGATTTTTGGGGGTTTGGGGACATTTGGGGGTCAGGAGAAGTTTAGGGCGATTTTGGGGGATTTGGGGGATTTTGGGGGTTTTTGGGGGATTTGGGGGGTCAGGAAGGATTTTTGGGGATTTTGGGGGTGGGCTTTGGGGTCAGGGGATTTGGGGGTCAGGAAGGGATTTGGGGATTTGGGGAATTTAGGGGAATTTAGGGGGATTTTGGGGGATTTGGGGCACAGGGGGTATGGCAGAGTCCTGTCCTCCCACGGCTGCTCCCACCCTAAAATCAGGAATTTTGGGGGGTTTTGGGGGATTTTGGGAAATTTGGGGGTCAGGAGAAGTTTAGGGGCGATTTTGGGGGATTTGGGGATTTGGGGAGGATTTGGGAAGATTTTGGGGGTTATGAAGGGATTTTGGAGTGATTTTGGGGGATTTGGGGATTTTGGGGTGGTTTTTGGGGTCAGGGGATTTGGGGGATTTTGGGGGATTTGGGGGATTTTGGGGATTTGGAGGCACAGGGGTACGGCAGAGCCCCGTCCTCCCATGGCTGCTCCCATCCTAAAATCAGGAATTTGGGGTGATTTGGGGGGATTTGGGGGATTTAGGGGATTTGAGAAGATTTTGGGGGATTTGGGAATTAGGGCAGACATTGAGGGGATTTGGGGGATTTAAAGGGGATTTGGGGAGGATTTTGGGGGATTTTGGGGGATTTGAGAAGATTTTGGAGCGATTTGGGGGATCAGGAAGGGATTTGGGGGTGATTTTGGGGGATTTTGGGGAATTTGGGGGCACAGGGGTGCGGCAGAGTCCCGTCCTCCCACGGCTGCTCCCACCTAAAAATCCCAAAATTTGGGGGATTTTGGGGTCAGGAAGGGATTTTGGGGATTTTGGGGGATTTGAGGGGGTTTGGGGGCATTTGGGGGATTTGGGAGCACAGGGGGTAGGGAGCCCCCGTCTCTGGCTGCAGGAAGGGATTTTGGGGATTTGGGGGATTTGAGGAAGATTTGGGGATTGGAGGTTGGGAAGGGATTTTGGGATTTAGGGAATTTTGGGGGAGGATTTTGGGGGATTTGGGGGCATTTTGGGGTGGTTTTGGGGTTCAGGGGGATTTGGAAATTTTGGGGGATTTGGGGAGATTTGGGGGGATTTGGGGATTTGGGGGGATTTTGGGGAGATTTGGGGGTCAGGAAGGATTTTGGGGATTTTGGGGTGGATTTTGGGGAGATTTGGGGGGATTTGAGAAGATTTTGGGGGATTTGGGGGAATTAGGGCAGACATTGAGGGATTTGGGGGATTTAAAGGGGATTTGGGGAGGATTTGGGGGATTTTGGGGATTTGGAGAAGATTTTGGGCGATTTGGGGGATCTAGGAAGGGATTTGGGGTGATTTTGGGGGATTTTGGGGGAATTTGGGCACAGGGTACGGCAGAGTCCCGTCCTCCCACGGCTGCTCCCACCCTAAAAATCCCAAAATTTGGGGATTTTGGGGTCTGGGAAGGGATTTTGGGGATTTTGGGGGATTTGAGGGGGTTTGGGGGCATTTGGGGGATTTGGGGGCACAGGGGGTACGGAGCCCCGTCCTCCCACGGCTGCTCCCACCCTAAAATACAAAATTTGGGGGATCAGGAAGGGATTTTGGGGATTTTGGGGATTTGAGGAAGATTTTGGGGGATTTGGAGGGTTGGGAAGGATTTTTGGGATTTTAGGGGAATTTTGGGAGGATTTGGGGCGATTTGGGGCATTTTGGGGTGGTTTTTGGGTTCAGGGGGATTTGGGAAATTTTGGGGGATTTGGGGAGATTTGGGGGATTTGGGGGATTTGGGGGATTTTGGGGGATTTGGGGGTCAGGAAGGATTTTGGGGATTTTGGGGTGGTTTTGGGGTCAGGGGGATTTGGGGGATTTGAGAAGATTTTGGGGATTTGGGGAGGATTTGGGGGTTCTGGCGTTGGATTTTGGGGTGGGTTTTGGGGTGGGGGATTTTGGGGGATTTGGGGGATTTGGAGGGTCAGGAATGGGATTTGGGGGTTGGGGGATTTGGGGGTCAGGAAGGGATTTGGGGGTCAGGAAGGGATTTGGGAGGATTTGGGGGATTTGGGAAGATTTTGGGGGATTTGGGGGGTTTGGGGGATTTGGGAAGATTTTGGGGGATTTTGGGGGTCAGGAATGGATTTTGGGGGATTTTAGGGGATTTTGGGTGGATTTGAGATTTTGGGGGATTTGGGGGTATTTGGGGTGGATTTGGTGGATCAGGAAGGGATTTGGGGGATTTGGGGGATTTTGGGGGTGGCTTTTGGGGTCAGGGGGATTTGGGGGATTTGGGGTGATTTGGGGGATTTGAGGGATTTTGGGGGATTTGGGGCACAGGGGGTACGGGAGTCCCCGTCCTCCCACGGCTGCTCCCACCCTAAAATCAGCATTTTTGGGGTGATTTGGGGGGATTTTGGGGAAATTTGGGGGGTCAGGGGTGGTCAGGAAGGGATTTGGGGGGATTTTGGGGGTGGTTTTTTGGGTCAGGGGTTTTTGAGGTCCCTGATCTCATTTTTTTGGGTGTTTTTTGGGGTATTTTGGGGTGGTTTTTGAGTGTTTTGGAGTCAGGGGTGTTTTGGGGGCTCTGATCTCATTTTTTGGGGTGTTTTTGGGGTCAGGGGGGTTTTGGGGTCTCTGATCTCATTTTTTGGGGTGTTTTTGGGGTCAGGGGGTTTTTGGGGTCCCAATCCCAATTTTTGGGGTATTTTGGGGTCAGAGGAGTTTTTGGGGTGTTTTTGGGGTCAGGGGTTTTTTGGGGTCTCTGATCTCATTTTTTAGGGTGTTTTTTGGGTATTTTGGGGGTTTTTGGGGTATTTTGGGGTGTTTTGGTTGTTTTTGGGGTGTTTTGGGGGTCTGGGGGTTTTCGGGGTCTCCGATCCCATTTTTTGGGATATTTTTGGGGTATTTTGGGGTCAGGGGAGTTTTTGGGGTGGTTTTGGGGTCAGGGCGTTTTTGGGGGCACCACTATCCTTTTTTGGGGTGTTTTTGGGGGTATTTTGGGTGTTTTTGGGGTCAGGGGGGTTTTGAGGTCACCAATCTAATTTTTTTGGGGTATTTTGGGGTGTTTTTGGGGTATTTTGGGGTGGTTTTGGGGTGTTTTTGTGTCCAGGGGTTTTTGGGGTCCCCGATCTCAATTTTTGGGGTAATTTCAGGCTATTTTGGGGTATTTTGGGGTGCTTTTGTGTCCAGGGGTTTTTGGGGTCGCCGATCCCATTTTTTGGGTTAATTTCAGGCTATTTTGGGGTATTTTGGGGGTGTTTTTGGGGTCAGGGATTTTTGAGAGTTCAGGGGGGGTTTTTGGGGTCCCCGATCTCATTTTTTGGGGTGTTTTTGGGGTATTTTAGGTGGTTTTGGGATTTTTGGGGTGTTTTTGGGCTCAGGGGGGTTTTGGGGTCCCTGATCCCAAATTTTTGGGTGTTTTTGGGGTATTTTGGGTGGTTTTGGGGTCAGGGGGTTTTTGGGGTCACCAATCTAATTTTTTGGGATGTTTTTGGGGTATTTTGGGGTGTTTTTGGGATATTTTGGGGTATTTAGGGGTGTTTTGGGCTCAGGGGGTTTTTGGGGTCCCTGATCTCATTTTTTGGGTTGTTTTTGCGATATTTTGGGTGTTTTTGGGGTGTTTTGGTTGTTTCAGGGGTGTTTTTGGGGTCAGGGGGTTTTTGGGCTCCCCAATCTCATTTTTTGGGGTAATTTCAGGCTATTTCGGGGTCTCACCCGGGATGAGGAGCTCAGGGGGGTTTTTGGGGTCGCTGATCCCATTTTTTGGGTTAATTTCAGGCTATTTCAGGCCCTCACCCGGTATGAGGAGGTTCCCAAAGCAGCACCTGGGGCTGGGGGGCTCGGGGGGGTTTTTGGGGTCTCTGATCTCAATTTTTGGGGTAATTTCAGGCTATTTTGGGGTATTTTGGGGTGTTTTTGTGTCCAGGGGTTTTTTGGGGTCGCCGATCTCGATTTTTGGGGTAATTTCAGGCTATTTTGGGGTATTTTGGAGACAGGGATTTTTGAGAGTTCAGGGGGGTTTTTGGGGTCCTCAATCTCATTTTTTGGGGTAATTTCAGGCTATTTTGGGGTATTTTGGGGTATTTTGGGGGTGTTTTTGGGGTCAGGGATTTTTGAGAGTTCAGGGGGGGTTTTTGGGGTCCCTGATCTCATTTTCTGGGGTGTTTTTGGAGTATTTTAGGTTTTTTTGGGGTTTTTAGGGTGTTTTTGGGGTCAGGGGGTTTTTGGGGTCGCCGATCTCAATTTTTGGGGTAATTTCAGGGTATTTTGGGGTCTCACCCGGGATGAGGAGCTCAGGGGGGTTTTTGGGGTCGCCAGATGTCATTTTTGGGTTAATTTCAGGCTATTTCAGTCCCTCACCGGGTATGAGGAGGTTCCCAAAGCAGTACCCAGGATGAGGGGCTCAGGGGGGTTTTTGGGATATTTTGGGGTATTTTTGGGATATTTTGGGGTATTTTGGGATGTTTTTGGGTATTTTGGGGTTTTTGGTGTCCCAGATCCCATTTTTTGGGTTAATTCCAGGCTATTTTGGGGTCTCACCCGGTATGAGGAGGTTCCCAAAGCAGTACCCGGGATGAGGAGCTCAGGGGGGTTTTTGGGGTCCCCGATCTCATTTTTTGGGTTAATTTCAGGCTATTTTGGGGTCTCACCGGGTATGAGGAGGTTCCCAAAGCAGCACCCGGGGCTGGGGGGCTCAGGGGGGTTTTTGGGGTCCCTGATCTCAATTTTTGGGGTAATTTCAGGCTATTTTGGGTGTTTTTAGGGTCAGAGGAGTTTTGGGGTGTTTTTGGGGTCAGGGGGTTTTTGGGGTCCCCGATCTCATTTTTTGGGGTGTTTTTGGGGTATTTTGGGGTGTTTTTGGTTGTTTTGGATTCAGGGGGTTTTTGGGGTCCCCGATCTCATTTTTTGGGGTGTTTTTGGGGTGTTTTTGGTATATTTGGGGTATTTTGGGGTGTTTTGGGGGTCAGGGGGTTTTTGGTGTCCCAGATCCCATTTTTTGGGTTAATTCCAGGCTATTTTGGGGTCTCACCGGGTATGAGGAGGTTCCCAAAGCAGTACCCCGCGGTGCCAGCGATGACGTGCGCCCCCCTGCCCGTGCACTGCACGTCCCGGATCCGCCCCCCGGTGCCCGTGGTCCCGCTGAACGGGGCGACCGCTGACAAAAAAAGGGGCGTGGTCAGCGTGGGACACGCCCATTGACCACACCCACCCACTGACCACACCCACCCAAATCACACCCACCCATTGACCACCCAAAAAATACCCCCAGGGACGCCAAAACTCATCCAGGAACCCCAAAACTCATCCTGGAACCCCCAAAACTCATCCAGGAACCCCCAAAACTCATCCAGGGATCCCAAAACTCATCCAGGAACCCAAAAATACCCAAAAAACCCCATTGACCACACCCACTGACCACACCCACTGACCACACCCACCCATTGACCACACCCACCCCACTGACCACACCCACCCACTGACCACACCCATCCACTGACCACACCCACCCACTGACCACACCCACCCATTGACCACACCCACCCACTGACCACACCCACCCCACTGACCACACCCACCCAATCACCACACCCACCCATTGACCACACCCATCCACTGACCACACCCACCCACTGACCACACCCACCCACTGACCACACCCATTGACCACACCCACCCATTGACCACACCCACCCACTGACCACACCCCATTCATCACGACCACACCCACTGACCACACCCACCCATTGACCACACCCTGACCCACCCACCCACTGACCCACCCACTGACCACACCCACCCACTGACCACACCCAGTCACTGCTGGCACAGTTGTGCGCCTCACCAGTGACCACACTCACCTGACTGACCACACCCACTGACCACACCCACTGACCACACCCACTGACCACACCCACTGACCACACCCACCCACTGGCCACACCACCCACTGACCACACTCCACTTGACCACCCACATGACACTGACCCACTGACCACACCCACTGACCACACCCACCCATTGACCACACCCACCCCATTAGCCACACCCACCACTGGACCACACCCCCACACCTGACACATTGCACACCACATGGACACACCTCACTGACACACCCACTGACCACACCCACTGACCACACCCACATGGACACACCCACATGACCACACCCACTGACCACCCACAGACACTCCCACTGACCACACCCACCCATTGACACACCCACTGACCACACCCACATGACACACCCACTGACCACACCCACCACTGACCACACCCACATGACCACACCCACATGAACACACCCACTGACCACACCCACCCATTGACCACACCCACTGACCACACCCACCAAAAAACCTCCCACTGACCACACCCACCCACTGACCACACCCACTGACCACACCCACTCCACACCCACTGACCACACCCATTGACCACACCCACTGACCACACCCACCAAAAAAACTCCCACTGACCACACCCACCCATTGACCACACCCACTGACCACACCCACCCATGACCACACCCACATTGACCACACCCACCAGACCACACCCACCCACTGACCACACCCACTGACCACACCCACTGATCCACCCACCCACATGACACACCATGACACACCATGGACCACACCCACTGACCACACCCACTGACCACACCCATTGACCACACCCACTGACCACACCCCTTTACCACACCCAGTTACCTGTGGGGAAGTTGTGCGTCTCAGCCGTGAACGTGACGTGTCTGACCACACCCACTGACCACACCCACCCACTGACCACACCCTGCCCTCCCACTACGACCCATCACCCCTACCCACCTTTGGCCCCTCACCCAGTTACCTGTAGGGAAGTTGTGCGTCTCAGCAGTGAACGTGACGTGTCTGAGGCTCGTCCTGCGCTCGAAGGGGCTCGGCCCTGACGGGTCCCGGGGCCACAGCGCCGTCACCGACGCCCCACGGATGGCACTGAGGGGGGAATGACGTCAGGGACCCCAAAAACACCCAAAAATAACCCAAAACCACCCAAAAATACCCCCAAAACACCTCCAGGAACCCCCAAAACTCATCCAGGAACCCAAAAACACCCAAAAACACCCCCAAAACTCATCCAGGAACCCCCAAAACTCATCCAGGAACCCCCAAAACTCATCCAGGGATCCCAAAACTCATTCAGGAACCCAAAAACATCACCAGGGACCCCAAAAACCCCCCAAAACTCATCCAGGAACCCCAAAAACACACCCAGGGACCTCAAAAATTCATCCAGGAACCCCAAAACTCATCCAGGAACCCCCAAAACTCATCCAGGGATCCCAAAAACACCCCCAGGAACCCCCAAAACTCATCCAGGAACTCAAAAACTCATCCAGGGACTCCCAAAACACCCAAAAATACCCCAAAAACTCATCCAGGGACCCCAAAAACGCCCAAAAATACCCCAAAAACTCATCCAGGGACCCCAAAAACACCCCCTGGTGTCACCCCAGGGGTCCCGAGGCCACAGCGCCGTCACCGACGCCCCACGGATGGCACTGGGAGCGGACCCAAATGAAACTCATCCAGGGACCCCCAAAAACATCCCAGGAACCCCAAAACTCATCCAGGGACCCCCAAAACTCATCCAAAAAAGCCTCCAAAACACCCCAAAAACACCCCCAGGAACCCCCAAAACTCATCCAGGAACTCCCAAAACTCATCCAGGGATCCCAAAAATACCCAAAAAAACCCCCAGGAACCCCCCAAACTCATCCAGGAACTCAAAATCATCACCAGGAACCCCAAAAACCCCCAAAAACTCATCCAGGAACCCCAAAAACACCCAAATGTCACCCCAGGGGTCCAGGCCACAGCCGTCACCGACACCACGGATGGCACTGGGAAATGATGCCAGGGACCCCAAAAACACCCAGAATACCCCAAAACCACCCAAAAACTACCCCAGGGACCCCCAAAACTCATCCAGGAACCCCCAAAACTCATCCAGGAACCCAAAAATTCATCCAGGAATCCCAAAAATACCCAAAAAAACCCCAAAAACACCCCCAGGAACCCCCAAAACTCATCCAGGGACCCCAAAACTCATCCAGGGATCCCCAAAACTCATCCAGGGACCCCAAAACTCATCCAGGGACCCCCAAAACTCATCCAGGAATCCCCAAAAACTCATCCAGGGACCCCCAAAACTCATCCAGGAATCCCCAAAAACTCATCCAGGAATCCCCAAAAACTCATCCAGGAATCCCCCAAAACACCCAAAAATACCCCCAGGAACCCCCAAAACTCATCCAGGGATCCCAAAAAGACCCCAAAACACCCCAAAAATACCCTCAGGAACCCCAAAACTCACCCAGGAACCCAAAAACACCCAAAAAAACCCCCAAAACTCATCCAGGAACCCCAAAACTCATCCAGGGATCCCAAAAATACCCAGGAACCCCCAAAACTCATCCAGGAACCCCAAAAACTCATCCAGGGACCCCAAAAATACCCCCAGGAACCCCCAAAACTCATCCAGGAACCCCCAAAACTCATCCAGAGACTCCCAAAAACATCATCCAGGGACCCCAAAACCCCCCCAGGTGTCCCCAAATCTCCTAAACCCCCAGAGTGTCCCCAAAGGCCCCCATTGTCCCCCAGTGTCCCCATTGACCCCAACTGTCCCCCAAACCCCTCCAAACCCTCTCGAGATGTCCCCAGGTGTCCCCAAACCCCTCTCAGGTGTCCCCATTGATCCAATTGTCCCCAGGTGTCCCCAGACCCCCAGGTGTCCCCAAACCCCTCAGTTGTCCCCAAGCCCCCAGGTGTCCCCAAACCCCCAGCTGTCCCCAAACCCCTCAGGTGTCCCCAAACCCTCTGAGATGTCCCCAAGTCCCCCAGGTGTCCCAACCCTCAGATGTCTCCCAGGTGTCCCCAAACCCCCCAGGTGTCCCCAACCCCCAGGTGTCCCCAAATGTCCCCAAATGTCCCCATTGTCACTTGTCCCTAGATGTCCCCAAACCCCCAGGTGTCCCCAAAGTGTCCCTAGGCTCTCCCTTGTCCCCAAATGTCCCCCAAACTCCCCCAGATGTCCCTCAAGCCCCCAGGTGTCCCCAAACCCCCATTCGTACCCAACTGTCCCCAAATGTCCCACAACCCCCAGGTGTCCCCAAATGTCCCCAAACCCTCTGAGATGTCCCCAAATGTCCCCAAATCCCCCAAATGTCCCCAAAGCCCCCCAGGTGTCCCCAAACCCCTCAGGTGTCCCCAAACCCCCAGGTGTCCCCAAAGCCCCCCAGGTGTCCCCACCTGCTGTTGTCACAGAACTTGATGACGTTGTTGGGGTGGCTGCTCCGCTAGGGCCCCAAATGTCCCCAATTGTCCCAAATTGTCCTGAATTGCCCCAAACCCCCAATGTCCCCAAATCCCCCAGGTGTCCCCAAACCCTCTGAGATGTCTCCAAATGTCCCCAAACCCCCAGGTGTCCCCAAATGTCCCAAACCCCCCAGGTGTCCCCAGACCCTCTCAGGTGTCCCCAAATGTCCCCAAACCCCCAGGTGTCCCCAAACCCTCTGAGATGTCTCCAAATGTCCCCAAACTCCCAGGTGTCCCCAAATGTCCCCAAACCCCCCAGGTGTCCCCAAATGTCCCCAAACCCCCAGGTGTCCCCAAACCCCCAGGTGTCCCCAAATGTCCCCAAACCCTCTGAGATGTCCCCAAATGTCCCCACCTGCTGTTGTCACAGAACTTGATGACGTTGTTGGGGTGGCTGCTCCTCTAGGAGGCCCCAAATGTCCCCAAACCCCCAGGTGTCCCCAAACCCTCCTGAGATGTCCCCAAAGCCTCCCAGGTGTCCCCAAACCCATCCCAGATGTCCCCAAAGTCCCCCAGGTGTCCCCAAATGTCCCCAAACCCCCAAGGTGTCCCCAAACCCCCAGATGTCCCCAAAGCCCCCAGATGTCCCCAAATGTCCCCAAACCCCCAGGTGTCCCCAAACCCTCTCGAGATGTCCCCAAACCCCCAGGTGTCCCCAAGCTCTCCCAGGTGTCCCCAAACCCCCCAGATGTCCCCAAACCCTCTCAGATGTCCCCAAACCCCCCAGGTGTCCCCAAACCCCTCCAGGTGTCCCCAAGCCCTCCCCAGGTGTCCCCAAACCCTCCTGAGATGTCCCCAAATCCCCCAGGTGTCCCCATTGACTCCAATTGTCCCCCAACTGTCCCCAAACCCCCTAGGTGTCCCCAACTGTCCCCAAACTCCCAGGTGTCCCCAAATGTCCCCCAAACCCTCCAGGTGTCCCCAAACCCCCCAGGTGTCCCCAAACCCCCAAATGTCCCCAAACCCCCAGGTGTCCCCACCTGCTGTTGTCACAGAACTTGATGACGTTGTTGGGGTGGCTGCTCCTCTGGGTCCTCCCAAATGTCCCCAAACTCCCCAGGGTCCCCAAATGTCCCCAAACCCCCCAGGTGTCCCCAAACCCCCCAGGTGTCCCCACCTGCTGTTGTCACAGAACTCTGATGACGTTGTTAGGGTGGCTGTCCAGCTGGGTCCCCAAATGTCCCCGAACCCCCAGGTGTCCCCAAACCCCCAGGTGTCCCCAACACCCCCAGGTGTCCCCAAATGTCCCCAAACCCCCAGGTGTCCCCCCAGGTGTCCCCCACCTGCTGCTGTCACAGAACCTGATGAGGCGTTGTTGGGGTGGCTGCTCCGCTGGGTCCCCAAATGTCCCCAAACCCCCCCAGGTGTCCCCAAACCCCCAGGTGTCCCCAAACTCCCCAGGTGTCCCCAAATGTCCCCAAACCCCCAGGTGTCCCCAAACCCTCCAGGTGTCCCCAAATGTCCCCAAACCCCCCCAGGTGTCCCCACCTGCTGCTGTCACAGAACTCTGATGACGTTGTTGGGTGGCTGCTCCCCAAACCCTCTGAGATGTCCCCAAACCCCCAGGTGTCCCCAAATGTCCCCAAACTCCCCAGGTGTCCCCAGATGTCCCCAAACCTCTGAGATGTCCCCAAATGTCCCCAAATCCCCCAGGTGTCCCCACCTGCTGCTGTCACAGAACTTGATGACGCTGTTGGGGTGGCTGCTCCTTCAGGGCCCACTGACCCCAAACCCCCCAGGTGTCCCCAAACCCCCCAGGTGTCCCCAAATGTCCCCAAACCCTCTGAGATGTCCCCAAATGTCCCTCAAACCCTCTGAGATGTCCCCCAGGTGTCCCCACCTGCTGTTGTCACAGAACTTGATGACGTTGTTGGGGTGGCTGCTCCTCTGGGTCCCCACGAGCCGCTGGAACAGGGACAGGGACCCCTCCCCATCCCCCGGGTGGGTCCCCTCCCCGTCCCCTCCCCCCTCCAGGAGGAGGCGCCCCTTGAAGAACCAATGGCGGCTGTGCTCGCTGGGGACAGAGTGACGTCATCGGGGGGGCAGTGATGTCACCAGGGGTCAATGGGGATGGTTTGGGGACAATGGGAGTCAATGGGGGCACAGGGGGACAATGGGGGGCAGTGGGGACAGTGACGTCATCAGGGGGTCAGTGACGTCACCAGGGGTCATCTGGGGTCACCAGGGGTCACAGGGGACGGTTGGGGACACAGGGGGACAATGGGGGGCTATGGGGGGCAATGGGGACAGTGACGTCATCAGGGGATCAGTGACATCATCAGGGAGTCAGTGACACCATCAGGGGTCACCAGGGGTCAATGGGGACGGTTGGGGACAATGGGAGTCAATGGGGGGCTATGGGGACAGTGACGTCATCGGGGGTCAGTGACGTCACCGGGGGGGTCAGTGATGTCATTGGGGGTCAATGGGGACAGTTGGGGACAGTTTGGGACAATGGGAGTCAATGGGGACACAGAGGGACAATGGGGGACTATGGGGACAGTGACGTCACCAGGGGGTCAGTGACGTCATCAGGGGTCACCTGGGGTCACCAGGGGTCAATGGGGGACAATTTGGGACACAGGGGGACAATGACATCACCAGGGGGTCAGTGACATCATCAGGGGGCAGTGATGTCATCAGGGGGCCAGTGATGTCATCAGGGGCCAGTGACATCATCAGGGGTCACCTGGGGTCAATGGGGACAGTTGGGGACAGTTGGGGACAATGGGGGGCTATGAGGACAGTGACGTCATCAGGGGGTCAGTGACATCATCAGGGGGTCAGTGATGTCATCAGGGGGTCAGCTGGGGTCACCAGGGGTCAATGGGGACAGTTGGGGACACAGGGGGACAATGGGGGACAATGGGGACAGTGATGACATCAGGGGGCAGTGACGTCAGCAGGGGGGCAGTGACGTCATCAGGGGGGCAGTGAGGTCATCGGGGGCAGTGACGTCACCAGGGGCCAATGGGGACAGTTGGGGACACTGGGAGTCAATGGGGGCACAGGGGGACAATGGGGACAGTGATGACATCAGGGGGGCAGTGACATCATCAGGGAGTCAGTGACGTCATCAGGGAGTCAGTGACATCACCAGGGGTCAATGGGGACAGTTGGGGGACAGTTGGGAGTCAGTGGGGGGACAATGGGGGACTATGGGGACAATGGGGACAGTGATGTCATCAGGGGGTCAGTGATGTCATCAGGGGGGCAGTGACGTCAGCAGGGGGGCAGTGATGTCATCAGAGGTCAATGGGGATGGTTTGGGACAATGGGAGTCAATGGGAACACAGGGGGACAATGGGGGGCTATGGGGTCAGTGACGTCATCAGGGGGTCAGTGACATTACCAGGGGGGCAGTGACGTCACCGGGGGTCAATGGGGACGGTTGGGGACAATGGGAGACAATGGGGGGCTATGGGGGACAGTGATGTCACCAGGGGGTCAGTGACATCACCAGGGGTCAATGGGGACAGTTTGGGGACAATGGGAGTCAATGGGGGACAATTTGGGACAAAGAGGGACAATGGGGGGCTATGGGGGACAATGGGGACAGTGATGACATCAGGGGGTCAGTGATGTCATCAGGGGGCAGTGACGTCATCGGGGGCAGGGACGTCATCAGGGGGCAGTGACGTCATCGGGGGGACAGTGACATCATCGGGGGTAGTGATTTCACCGGGGGGTCAGTGATGTCATCAGGGGGGCAGGGACGTCATCAGGGGGCAGTGATGTCATCAGGGGGGGCAGTGATGTCATCAGGGGGGCAGTGATGTCACCAGGGGGTCAGTGACATCATCGGGGGGAGTGATGTCATCAGGGGGTCAGTGACGTCAGCAGGGGGGCAGTGATGTCATCGGAGGGGCAGTGACGTCACCAGGGGTCAATGGGGACAGTTGGGGTCAATGGGGGACACAGGGGAACAATGACATCATCAGGGGGTCAGTGACGTCATCAGGGGTCAATGGGGACGGTTTGGGGACAGTTGGGAGTCAATGGGGGGACAATGGGGGACTATGGGGACAATGGGGACAGTGATGACATCAGGGGTCAGTGATGTCATCAGGGGGTCAGTGATGTCATCAGGGGTCAATGGGGACGGTTTGGGACAATGGGAGTCAATGGGGGGACAATGGGGGACTATGGGGACAGTGATGACATCAGGGGGCAGTGACGTCATCAGGGGGTCAGTGATGTCACCAGGGGTCACCTGAGGTCACCAGGGGTCAATGGGGACAGTTGGGGACGGTTGGGGACAGTTGGGGACAATGGGGGGCTATGGGGACAATGACATCACCAGGGGGTCACAGGAACAATGACAGGGGTCCTGGGGACAGTGACATCATCAGGGGGTCACCCAATGTCACCAGGGGTCAATGGGGACAGTTGGGGACAATGGGAGTCAATGGGGGCCTATGGGGACAGTGACATCATCAGGGGAGTCAGTGATGTCATCAGGGGTCAGTGACGTCATCAGGGAGTCAGTGATGTCACAAGGGGTCAATGGGGACAGTTGGGGACAGTTTTGGGGGTCCCAAGTGGGGTTTTGGGGGAGATTTTAGGGATTTTGGGGGGATTTTGGTGATTTGGGGGTAGATTTTTGGGATTTTGGGGGAGATTTTGGTGATTTTGGGGTGGATTTTGGGGGGGATTTTAGGGTAATTTTGGTGATTTTGGGGGGATTTTGGGTTTTTTTGGGTTTTTTTATACTCTGGGGTTCCAGGGGGGGTTTTTGAGGGTGCTGAGTTCAATTTTGGGGGAATTTTGGGGGGATTGGGGGGGTTTTGGGGACTCTTGGGGCTCCAGGAGGGGCTTTTGGGGGTGCTGAGTTCAATTTTGTGGGTCCCAGGGGTGATTTTGGGGGAGATTTTGGTGATTTTGGAGGGGATTTTGGGGATTTTAGGAGGGATTTTGGGGATTTTGATGATTCTGGGGTGGATTTTGGGGTGGATTTTGAGGGGGATTTTGGTGATTTTGGGGGGATTTTGGGGGAGATTTTGATGATTTTTAAGGAATTTTGAGGAGATTTTGGGACTCTGGGGGTCCAAGGGGGTTTTTGGGGGTCCCAGGTTGGATTTTGGGTGGGATTTTCGTGATTTTGGGAGGGATTTTGGGGATTTTAGTTGAATTTGGGGGATTTTGGGGGAGATTTTGGTATTTTTTTAAGGAATTTTGGGGGAATTTGGGGTTTTTTACTCTGGGGTCCCAGGAGGGGTTTTTGGGGGTGCTGATCTCAATTTTGGGGTAATTTTGGGGTAATTTGGGGTGATTTTGGGGTTCCCCACCTGTTGCTCTGGGCCAGGTCGAAGCACTCGACCGTGCTGGGGTTGCGGCCGATCCTCTGGAAGAGCCTCGTGTAGAACTCCACGTCCCACGGGTCGAAGGCCAAGCCTGGGGGGACCCAAAAATGCACCTCAAAACCCCCCCAAAATTCACCAAAATCCACCCCAAAAATTCACCTCGACACCCCCAAAAATTCACCTCAACCCCCCCAAAAAATCCCCAAAAATTGACCTGAAAATCCCCAAAAATTCGCTTTAAAACGGCCCAAAAATTCGCTTTAAAAGGCCCAAAAATTCGCTTTAAAATGGTCAAAAATTCGCTTTAAAGTGACCAAAAATTCACCTGAAAATCCAAAAAAATTCACCTGAAAATCCCCAAAAATTCACCTGAACACCCCCAAAAATTCACCTCAACACCCCCAAAAATCGACCTGAAAATGCCCAAAAATTCGCTGTAAAATCAAAAAAAATTCACTTTAAAATGCCCAAAAATTCACCTTAAAGTGACCAAAAATGCACCTGAAAACCCCCCCAAAATCACCAAAATCCACCCCAAAAATTCACCTCGACCCCCCCCCAAAAAATCCCCCAAAATCAACCTGAAAATCCCCAAAAAATCGCTTTAAAATGACCAAAAATTTGCTTTAAAATGGCCAAAAATTCGCTGTAAAATGACCAAAAATTCACCTGAAAATCCCCCAGAATTCACTTAAAAATGGTCAAAAATTTGCTTTAAAATGCCCAAAAATTCGCTTTAAAATCAAAAAAAATTCACTTGAAAATGGTCAAAAATTTGACCTGAAAATCCAAAAAAAATTCACTTTAAAATCCCCAAAAATTCGCTTTAAAATGCCTAAAATTCACTTTAAAATGACCAAAAATTCACTTAAAAATGCCCAAAAATTCACTTTAAAATGGCCAAAAATTCACCTGAACCCCCTCAGGACCCCCCAAATCCCTTCTGAGACCCCCCAAAAGACCCCAAAACCCCTTCAAGACCCCCCCAGACCCTCTCAGGACCCCCCAAAAAGACCCCAAAACCCTTTCAGGACCCCCCAAAATCCCCCCCAAAAGACCCCAAACCCTCTCAGGACCCTTCTGGGACCCCCAAATCCCCCCCAAAAAGACCCAAAACCCCTCAGGATCCCCCAAAAGACCCCAAACCCCCCAAAGACCCCCAAAACCCCCTCAGGACCTCCAAAATCCTTGAGACCCCAAATCCCCAAAAAGACCCCAAAACCCCCAAGACCCCCAAAGGACCCCAACCCCCAAAGACCCCAACCCCCAAAAGACCCCAAACCCCTCAGGACCCCCAAAGACCCCAAAACCCTCAAGACCCCCAAAAGACCCCAAAGCCCCCCAAGATCCCCAAAATCCCCCAAAAAGACCCCCAAAAGACTCCAAGACCCCCAAAGTCCTCCAGAGACCCCAAAAAGATCACCCCCAAAAGACCCCAAGAGCCCTCAGAACCCCCAAATCCCCACAAAAGACCCCAAGACCCCCAAGAGACCCCAAAACCCCCTCAGGACCCTCCTGAGACCCCCAAATCCCCCCAAAAAGACCCCCAAATCCCCCGAAAGACCCCAAAGACCCCCTCAGGACCCCCAAAACCCCTCCAAGACCCCCAAAGACTCCCCAAAAGACCCCCAAGACCCCCAAGAGACCCCAAAACCCCCCAAGACCCCCAAAAAGCCCCCAGAACCCCCAAAGACCCCAAACCCCAGGATCCCCAAAACCCCTAGACCCCAAAAAGACCCTCAGGACCCCAAGACCCCCAAAGATCCCCAAAACCCCTCAGAGACCCCCAAAACCCCCAGAGCCCCAAAAGACCCCAGACCCCCAAGATCCCCCAAAGACCCTCAGGACCCCCAAAGACCCCAAAACCCCCCAAGACCCCCAAGAACCCCCAAGACCCCCCAAGATCCCCCAAAAAGACCCCAAAAGACCCCAAGACCCCCAAAACCCTCAAGGACCCCAAAAGACCCCCAAGACCCCCAAAAGACCCCAAAAGACCCCTCAGGACCCCCAAATCCCCCAAAAGACCCCAAGACCCCCAAGACCCCCAAAACCCCTCAGGATCCTCCAAGACCCCCAAGACCCCCAAAAAGACCCCCAAGATCCCCAAAAGACCCCCAAGACCCTCTCAGGACCCCCAAAATCCCTCAAAGACCCCCAAAGTGACCCCCAGAAAGACCCCCAGACCCCCAAAAGACCCCAAGACCCTCTCAAGACCCCCAAAAAGACCCCAAGACCCCCAAAGACCCCAAGACCCCCCAAGTCCCCCAAAAGACCCCCTCAGGACCCCCAAAGACCCTTCAGGACCCCAAAATCCCCCCAAAAGACCCCCAAGGACCCCCAAGATCCTCAGGACCCCCAAAAGACCCCAAGACCCCCAAGACCCCCAAAATCCTTCTAGGACCCCCAAAAGACCCCAAACCCCCTCAAGACCCCCAAGACCCCCAAAAGACCCCAGGACCCCCAAAAAGACCCCAAGACCCCTCAGGACCCTCCTAGGGACCCCAAACCCCCTCAAGACCCCCAAAAGACCCCCAAAACCCCCAAGACCCCCAAAGACCCCCAAAAAGATCCCAAAACCCTTCAAGACCCCCAAAATCCCCTCAGGATCCCCAAAAGACCCCAAGACCCCCAAGATCCCCTCAAGACCCCCAAAAAGACCCCAAAACAGCCCTCCAAGACCCCCAAAAAGACCCCACAAAGAACCCCAAACCCTCTCAGAACCCCCAAAATCCCCTCAGGACCCCCAGAAAGACCCCAAAACCCCTCAAGATCCCCCAAACCCCCACAGGGTCTTCCCAAGACCCCCAAATCCCCCCAAAGACCCCCAGACCCCCAAAAGACCCCAAACACCCCCAGGACCCCCAAAACCCCATCAGGACCCCACAAATCCCCCAAAAAACCCCAAAAGACCCAAACCCCCAAGACCCCTGAAAATCCCCCCAAAAGACCCCAAAATCCCCTCAAGACCCCCAAAAAGACACCAAACCCCCAAAAGACCCCAGACCCCCAAACTCCCTCAAGACCCCCAGAAAGACCCCAAAGCCCCCTCAAGACCCCCCAAATCCCCCAAACCCCTCAGGACCCCCAAACCCCCTCAAGACCCCCAAAACCTCCTCAGGACCCCCAAAACCCCCAAAAACCTCCTCAAGACCCCAAAATCCCCAAAACTCCTCAAGACCCCCAAAAGACCCCAAATCCCTCAGGACCCCCAAAGAAGACCCCAGACCTCCCCAAGACCCCCAAACCCCTCAGGACCTCCCCAAAATCCTTCTGAGATCCCCAAATGCCCCCAAAAGACCCCAACCCCCAGACCCCCAAAAGAGACCCAACCCCCAAAAAGACCCCAAAGCCTTCAGGACACCCAAATTCCCCCAAAACCCTTCTGAGACCCCAGAAAGACCCCAAAACCCCCAAATCCCTCAAGACCCCCAGAAGGACCCCAAGACCCCCCAAAAGACCCCAAAACCCCTCAGGACCCTTCTGGGACCCCCAAATCCCCCTCAAGACCCCCAAAATCCCCCAAAGACCCCAAAACCCCTCAGGATCCCTTCTAGGGACTCCCAAACCCCCCAGAAAGACCCCAGAACCCCCAAAAGACCCCAAAACCCCCTCAGGAGTCCCCAAACCCCCTCAAGACCCCCAAAATCCTTCTGAGACCTGAATCCCCCAAAAGACCCCAAAAGACCCCAGAACCCCTCAGGATCCTCCAAAAGACCCCAAATCCTCAGGACCCCAAAAAGACCCCAGGAGCCCTGAAAAGACCCCAACCCCCAAAAGACCCCAGACCCCCAAAAACCCTCAAAACACCCCAAATCCCCCTCAAGACCCCCAAAAAGACCCCAAACCCCCTCAAGACCCCCCAAGACCCCAACCCTCTCAAGGACCCCCAAAACCTCCTCAGGAGTCCTCCTAGAGACCCCAAATCCCACCCAAAAGACCCCCAAAACCCCCAAATCCTCAGGACCCCCAAAAGACCCCAAAAACCCCCTCAGGACCCCCCAAAATCCCCCAAAAGACCCCAAAACCCTCCAAAGAGACCCCCAAACCCCCTCAGGACCCTTCTGGGACACCCAAATCCCCCTCAGGACCCCCAAGCCCCCTCAAGACCCCCAAATTCCCCAAAACCCTCCAGGACCCCCAAAGACCCAGCCCTCAAGACCCCCAAGACTCCAAACCCCCAAAAGACCCCAAAACCCCATCAGGACCCCTCCCAAATCCCCCAAACCCCTCAGGACCCCCAAACCCCCTCAAGACCCCCAAAGACCCCAAAACTCCTCAGGACCCTCCTCAGGAGCCCCAAAAAGGACCCCAAACCCCCTCAGGACCCCCAAAAACCTCCTCAGGACCCCCAAAAACCTCCTCAGGACCCCCAAAAACCCCCAAAAACCCCCTCAAGACCCCCAAAACCCCCAAGAGACCCCAACCCCCAAAGACCCCAGGACCCCCAAAAGACCCCAAACCCCCAAAGACCCCATCAGGACCCCCAAATCCCCTCAAAAGACCCCAAAGAGACCCCAAACCTCCCCAAGACCCCCAAAGACCCCCAGACCCCCAAATCCGGACCCCAAACCCCCTCAGGACCCCCAAACCCCCTCAGGACCCCCAAAAAGACCCCAGACCCCCCAAAAACCCCTCAGGACCCCCAAACCCCCTCAGGACCCCCCAAAAGACCCCAGACCCCCAAAACCCCCTCAGGATCCCCAAAGCCCCCAAACCCCCTCAGGACCCCCAAACCCCCAAACCCCTCAGGACCCCCAAAGACCCCCAAGACCCCCAAAACCCCCTCAGGACCCCCAACCCCCAAACCCCTCAGGACCCCTAAAAGACTGCAAGACCCCCAAAATCCTTCTGAGACCCCAAAATCCCCCAAAGACCCCAACCCCCAAAAGACTCCAGACCCCCAAATCCCCCCAAAGACCCCAAACCCTCTCAGGACCCTTCTAGGACCCCCAAATCCCCCAAAAGACTCCAGACCCCCAAAAGACCCTAAATCCCCAAAACCCCTCAAGACCCCCAAAAAGACCCCAGACCCCCCAAGACCCCCAAGCCCCCTACCCAGCTCCCGGTCGGCTTTTCCAGCTCTTTCCGTCCCCCAGGACGTCGATGGTGCTCACAGGGGGCTTTGAAGTCCCCGTTTTGGGGGGTCTCGCTCTCAGGGTTCAGGATCCCCAAAAGCCCCCAAAACCCCCTCAGGCACCCCAAAATCCCCCAAAAAGACCCCAAACCCCTCAGGACGCCTAAAATCCCCAAAAAAGACCCCAAAACCCCTCAGGATTCCCAAAGACCCCAGCCCCCAAAAAGATCCCAAAACCCCTCAGGACCCTTCAGGACTCCTCCAAATCCCCCAAGACCCCCCAAAAGACCCCCAAAACCCCTTCAAGGTCCTCCTGAGACCCCCAAATCCCCCCAAAAAGACCCCAAAAGACCCCAAACCCCCTAAACCCCCTCAGGACCTCCCAAAAGACCCCAGACCCCCAAAAACCCCCAAAACCCTCTCAGGACCCCCAAAATCCTTCTGAGACCCCCAAATTCCCTCCCAAAAGACTCCAAAACCCTCTCAGGACCCCCAGAAGACCCCAAACCCCCTCAGGACTCCCCAAAAAGACCCCAAACCCCCCAAATCCCCCAAATCCCCCTCAGGACCCCCAAAATCCTTCTGAGACCCCCAAACCCTCCCAAAAAACCTCCTCAAGACCCCCCAAAAGACCCCAAACCCCCCCAAAACCCCTCAGGACCCCAAAATCCTTCTGAGACCCCCAAATACCCCCAAAAAGACCCCAAAACCCCTCAAGACCCCGAAAAAGACCCGAAACCCCCTCAAGACCCCCAAAAAGACCCCAAAACCCCCAAAACCCCATCAGGACCCCCAAAAAGACCCCAAAGACCCCAAACCCCCTCAGGACCCCCCAAAAGACCCAAAACCCTCTCAGGACCCTTCTGGGACCCCCAAAACCTCCCCAAGACCCCCAAAATCCTTCTGAGACCCCCAAAACCCCCAAGCCCCCTACCCAGCTCCCGGTCGGCTTTTTCCAGCTCTTTCCGTCCCCCAGGACGTCGATGGGTGCCCACGGGGGCTTTAGGTCCCCCGATTTGGGGGGGGTCTCGAAGCTCTCCAGGGGTTCAGGGTAGAGCTCTTCGGTCATGGGGTCCCTCAGGACCCTCCCCAAAAGTTCGGGGACCCCGGCCCGGAGTCCCTCCAGCTGGGGAGGGGAAAAAGAGGAGGGGTTGAGAGACCCCCAGAAAATTTGGGGACCCCTCCCCCACCAAGAGTTGGGACCCCCAGAGTGATCCCCTAAAGTTGGGACCTCCTAAAAGAGAGCCCCTTAAATTTGGGACCCCCTA